AATATTTATAATTTTTTGGTAAGGAGAGTTGATAAACAATGAGAAACTTAAATACGCCATTACAGCCATTTTAGTTGAAAAACATTCCCAAAATCCTTAAAATTTAGGGGTATCTTCGTATGGGAGTTACCTTGCAAAGTGGACCAATGTTGATCATTTTTGGTAGGGATTTGCTACCCAAATAGAACCAAAAATATTAAAAATATCGATTGGTAATGTTAGATGGGCCTATACCAAAACGTAGACCAATATATAACATTTCCAATACTAAACATCCTAGGAGTACTAGTACGCGTCAAATTTCAAACCTCTTTTTTAAATATTGTGAGATCTAAAGTGATTTCAAGGGACAGATCTTCAAAGACTTGTATTCTGATCAAGAACAAATATGATTTATGGAGCCTCCCCTTCCTATGTTCTTGGATATACACAATTATTAATTTTATTGCAGGCCCCTTTACCTTGGCCTCTTTTTCCTGGGCCTCATAGTGCCGTAGCTTTTCATTGATATTTCGAATATCATCCATGAGATTCTCCTTTTCCTCCTCGAGTTGGGCCAAAGTTTTAATTTTACTTAACGATCTCAATTTAATTTGCATTTCACTTAGCTGATTTTCTTTCGACTTCAAAACTTGGCGGGCCTGGTTTAATTTTTGTTTGGCCATCAACACATCCTTTTTTAACTGAAATTAAAAATTGGTTAATTTTTTAAATTAAAAATTCGAAATTATTTACTTACCTCTCCTGCGTTGGTATTCTGCTTGGGGAAATATATTTTATTTTTGCCATACATTTTCATTGCCAAAATTTCCTTGTCCACCAGGGAATCTAAGGACCTAAAACATATGAAAAATATTAATTTCATACTCATTTAAATATTATATCAAACCTAATACTCACTTTTGTATGGCCGCCTTTCCCAAATCCTTGCCACAACCATCCACCACATCATTAATGGCATAGGGTCGATTGGCTTTTAGCATAAATTCTTGTACAACTTTTAGCACCGAAGACTTGGACATCTTAAAATCTGCAACAGAAAAAACAACGACAATAACAAATAATTTGTATAACTTGTATGTTTATTGCCCATATATGTATGTATGTACGTTCTTGTAATCTGACATTTCTCAACAAAACTCACGTGTACCATGACCACTAACCATTATCTTGAAGTTGCTCTGGCTGTGCTATTCCATTCATGCAGATGTTTTATTACCAAAGACATTAACATTATTTATTAACGGTTTTAATATCAATGTTATTACATTCTAAGTTGTTATTTTTATTGCCATACTTTTTTAGTTGTTGTTGTTGTTTTTTTTTTTTCTTTAAATACATATTAATTACCAGATACCACATACGAAAAAATATGCAATTTTATGTCTTGCAGAACGTTTGAAGCTAGAGCTATTACAATCAGAAGATTGACAAATCAGAAATTAATGTAAATGAAAGTGTACCGCAACAAGTGGTAACGCCTGCTTCGCGGCGTCTAGTTAGCAATAAATTATGGATAAGATTTGATTTTTTTAGAATATTAACAGGAAAATAGTTTGACTTAGTCCGGTTGGGCAGTTTCGGAAAATACAGAAAAGGTAACTAAATAAAATTGGATTTTAATAGACGAATCGAAAATTTTCCCAAGATTTCGACGTCAATTTCGTCATCTTTGGGGATTTCATTCAAAAGCTAGGGATAAGTTAATCGACTTTTTGTAGTAAAAAAAAAAAACAAAAAATCAAAGTCGACTTTGAGGAAATCCCTAAGTTGGTATTTTTTACGATCGCCGCACTTTCCAGCCCCTGCCGACCGAGAGAGCCACCTCCTCCTAACATAGGGAGCGCGTATACCTCAGCTACAGTTAAAACCTCAGCCGGTTAAACACTAACGATTTACGACAATGAGCAATCGTAACACACCAATAAAATAAATAGAACTAATCCAAGACATACGCCTGACAACTGTTGCTACACACTAAGAACGTAAGATACAGTTTTTTATGACATACAGAGGTTCAGATAAAGATATACTATTATATAATTTGTCGTATTCTTCACATAAAGACCGGAGAGGATTACTTAATTCAAATTTAGATTTTGCAAATGTTACTTTAAGGGATATGTAGTTTCGGCTACAACGTAACGGTACATTAAATTAAATTTCAACTAGTAAAAACTCAGATTTAATTTGGCCGCGAGTTTAATAATTAAAACAGATCAAATCATTAAACGTCTTTTCTCTTGTGTGGTAAGGTCAATTAACATCAGACGATTTCCATATGGTGCCAGAAAATCATTTGAGTTCCATCCTAAACCTCTGAGAGCAAGTAAAAAAAAATGAACTTGTAGAGATTCTATTTTGCCAGAATAACATTTATAAAAAGGATTCCATACTACACAACCATATTCTAATGTTGGTCGAACAAGACTTATGAATAAGCGTTTGCTCACAAGATCGACTTTCAAATTTCTTCTTAAATACTTGGTATATTAACACAAAGCGCAAATTGCCCAAAAAATTCATATTCCATAACATTATTTTATATGTTAACAACAATTCATAAAAAATTTTAGTCGAATTTACATTAGTTGGCAGTTAAAAATCCAAATCGGGTTTTAACAGGTTTAACAAAAGGGAAAGATCGAAAAGACAACTTTTTAATCAAAGGCAAAAATCGAAAAGTTTAAAAATCTACGTTTTGGTCGGAGACAAAAATTGAAAAGCCTAAAAGTCGACTTTTGCGTTCGACTACGATTCATCCCAATTACCTACTTTTAATCTTGTTCTGAATGTGTTTCTGGTTCGTGGTTCCCCAGCTATATATAACTTATAATGTTGGGTCAGAATATTTGTTTTCTTAGTATAAATCTCAAGACCAGCATTGCGAGCCTGTTTCTCCAGGACTTCTAATTTTGACTGCATATTGGATATCTTGTGAGAGAGAGAAGACATATATCCGCATAATTGAAGTCTTCCAGTTGCAGTGAGACACTCGATGATATGCCTCTTATCGGACAGCAATCTTCGTCCATTATTTCATCCAGTACAAGTTTGAGCAGTAGAGGTGGCACCGAAGCATCCTTGCTTTACACCTGCATTGATCTGAGGGGGTGTGAATGGAGAAGACTGAAGGAGTTCTCAAAAAACACGGAATTCCTAGATTCATAGGGGGATCAAATCTAAACTTTCAAATCTAAACTTTCACTAATTCTAACTTTCTCCGCATTTCTAGAGCACACAACATACCTCAATTGGCTTATGTGTATGTCCTTCTCATATTGGACATGTGGTTTTATTATCCACCCCTTTTTTCAACCTAACCTACTCCTGCATTCATACGAAATTCTTGGCTTATGTTACCGTTGCTAAGAACTAACAGTTCTGCACACCCGTACTTCAATCTTATTATTCGAATTATTATCTGGGGTACTCCCAGTTCGGAAGTTTGGTGCCAAAAGCTTTTTTGAAGTCGATGAAAGGTATATACAGGGGGTATGCCATTATCTTAAGTGGACCGTATACAAAAAATAGATGCCTGTTTAACTAAATACTCTCTCTCCAACACACACAGCAAGATATTTATATTTCTTAATTTAAAATCAGTCGGTAGAAAACTTTCTGCTCAAATTTATCAGCATCGTTATCTAACTCAGATTTACCACATGTAACAATAGAAAATTTATCAATTTTCTAAAGTCTCCTACCAGACGAAGTCCTTATCTTCGGAGCACTTTATAAAAGGAATAGATACCTGTTTAACTAAATTATCTCTCTTCTATTGATCACACTTTTGGGGTTTTACATATTTTGATACAAGAAGTTGGGCTGTGATTTAGGTCTTTTCAAGGTCACTTGAAAACACGTTTAACGCCATCATTGAAATTATTTTTTGGTTAGGTTAGAATTTAAATTCCTTTCAACCACTATTTGGCAGAATTTTTTGATATCCATATTAATTTGGACTTCTATGCCTACTTCTGAATTATGTTTCTTTAGCAACATTCAAAGATTTGTCTTTATTGTTATAGAGGTCACACAATATATTTCATATTTTGGAGAAAAAAATGCCTTGAAATATTGACCAGTTTATTGAGACTCCAAAATAAAATATAATTCTTATTCTACACTTCCGAACCGAATCGTTTACACTTGTAGGATGTGTAGGAACTTAAATAATACAATAATACACGTTTTCTGAAAATTTGTGTATTTAAAATCAGGTATATTGAATCCCAAATATCTCGATATTTCCGCTTGTGAGTTTTTAAGGTTTTACATTCTCTTCTGTACGAGTTGTGAGTTAATGGGAGAAAATTAATTTAACTTAGTTTAACTGTGGATTATTGTGAAGTACACTTTCAGAGACCGATTAGCAGGCACATAGAAGAAACAGTTTTTTTCGCACAATCTCTAAATATTCTATGGAAGTTGTCTTCGAATGCTGTGATGCCGCATTCAAATCCCCATATTTTAAACACATGCTATACTACTAGACTAGGTATAACTATAACACTGTTTACATTAACAAAATAATAATGTTTGCCATTTTGCAAATACAAATGTCAAATGTTGTGTTTTGTATTTTATGAATCACGTTTTTGGTTTACATTAAAGTGAAGCTGGTGCAGTAGGTATGGCATTGAGGCTATAAGCACCTGGTGGTTTGCAGCATACACTGTAGCATCTTCTTTTTATGAAGAAGATGACTTGTGCCATTTTAAAGGAAATTCAATTCCACAAAGCAATAAAAGTAAAATAAAACTAGATTTGGACAAGTTAACAAAAAAGTTCAAATAGTTAGTAGGCAAAGACTAGCATAAAATTTGAAATGAAAAACCAAACCACAATGGCAATTTCCCATCGCAATGGAAACCCAAAGATGATTTCGCCTTAAAGGTTACAATAAAATTAAAATATAACATTTAAATATTTTCCTTATGCTGGATACAATACAATTTCTAACCAAACTTTTTTCCTATTCTCTTTTCTTCCCATAGGGCCGTGATGCCACACCATATTTGGAAAGAAATCGTGTTGGACGTGATGCAATCGATTCGGCAGCAGCCTTAACAGATATGGGTAAATATTTATTCCGTGAAAGACGTTTGCCGGTTTACGACATTGCTGTGGCCATAACCAAGTAAGTTTTTTTTGTAAAAATCAAATTATTATTAAAATTTTATAGGAGGAGCCTTAAATAAATTCTGTGATTTTCAATTTTTTTCTAATCTCTATTTTTTCTACTTTGTTTTATTTTATATATATTTTGAATGAGTCTACACTATTGTATTTTCTTGTCAAAATTGAAATTTCTATATCTTTCTTTTCCCCTTCAAATCAATCCGAAACAAAAAAAAAACAAATCTAAATCCGATCTTAGGTATGATATGTGTCGCAGACGTAAAGGAGGTCGTTGTACAAAAGGCACAGCCGGTAAAGATATTTCAAAATTATTTCTTTATTATTATTTTTAGTTTGGAATTATTTTTTGTAGTTGTTGTTTTGGCACATTTTAGAAACATATGACATATTAACCTTAGTAAAAAATATAGTTTTAAACAAGATTTTGGGTATTTTTCAATATCTTCAGCTATGCTACAATAAAAACGAGACATGCTACTTAACCTAAAACTGAAGATATTGAAAACTTTTGGTAATATTTTTTCTCAACATTAGTTTGGAAATAGTTTCTTTTATATTTTTTGAATTATATAAACCTACTAAACATTTAATATAGAAATGCTTTTTAATATTAGGATTTAGAGAACAAAGAAAATTGCCCGTAGCATTTATACAATTCTGGGTATAATGTTTTGATATCTACGTCAGTATAATTGAAAAGTCAAAAATTACCTAAAATTGGCATTTTTATATCCTTCAAAATATTTCTAAATTAAATAATAATCATCTCTGGCTACCGCAAACCCTACGAGTAGTCACTTTCCCGAAAGGGAACACTGGAATATCGATAATATTAATCTCAAAAAGCTACCAGAGCTCAGTGGAACCGATATCGGGTATAAGGGGAATTAGCATTATACTTGCAACAGTTATTATAAATATCGATTGCTACTATAGCCTCTTGGATCAACCCTTTGAGTTAATCTGTAGTTTACCTCATTCTCCTGTCTATTTCTTGTAGTAGATTTTTTTAAGAACTTTTTATTTTAATTACTTATCGTAAGATACCCTCAGACTTCCTAATTTCATCTATTAGAATAAATGTTCCTTTTCGATCCAGTATATATTAGCAACTATTATAGGTAGATTTTCATCGCAAAAATTATTCTATGGGAGATTCACATAGCAAAAAATGTGTATTAATTTGAATTCGGTGTATTCGAATGTAGATTTTTGCATAAATGTAGAACGTACGACATACGTTTTCCTAGTCCCTTTCTCGGATTTATTTAATCAGAAACTATTCAATGAATGAAAGATTACTAATTTAAATTATTATTCATTATACCCAGAATTGTGTAGATAAATTTTAGAAATTATTACAATTACTTTCTAATTTTGGAAAGGTTTATTTTTAATTAAATCTACTACTAACTACTTATTTTTAAATATATAAAAGAAAACTACGAAGCCCCTACACATATCCAGGAAATATTTTTGCTACTTACATCTTCGTATTGTCTTCTCTTCTTTTTCACACGTTGTTTCTTTTTGCTCCTCGCTCGCCTTCCTTGATTGTGATTTTTTTCTTTTTATTTCATTTTACTTTTAAACACTATATATTTTTATAAAAAAACACTTACCGTATTTTATTATTTAATAACAAAATCAAATTAGACTTGATATGTGCAGACGTGAAGCTGGTGCTCGTGATTGTAATCGTGGTACAGCAGGTAATATACAGATAACTGAAAAGAAAAAATATGAAAATGTGAAATAATTCAATGAATAAATATTTAGCACGTTCTGTTGTAAAAAAAGTTCTCTCTTCTGTCGAATACTGTTCTCTTCTCTCACTTGTAAAATAAAATGTCAATGATTTCCTCTAAAAAAATTGTCTTGTGTAAATATATTTCGAATAAATATTTCCTTTGATCTTGAATTATTTTTAATTGTTCTCTTTGTGTTTTTTTTTTCTTTATTATGTGTGAAATTAAATTCTGAGTCTTCTACGTCTTATATTTTTATTGTTCTTCCTAACAATTTGCTCAAGAATATTAGTTTTCTTCTCAATTTCTCAATCTTCGATTTCTTCTCTGTTTTTCTCCCTAACAAATTTCCAAGGAATTCGTTTCTTCTCTTCTTCCTAAAATTTTTAAAGAATATTCGTCTTGCATTTTTTCGTTTTCTGATTTATAATTCTGGTTCAATTTTTATTTGTGTCAATACTATTTTTATATGTGTCTAATTATGTGTGCTCCACTGCTACTCCGATCTTGAAATAACCCTGTGTACGTCTATAGACCATTTTTACTATATTAATTTCTTAGACCAATACCATTAATAAGGTAATAAAAATATTGATTTGTGGTGTCAATGATAAGATTATCTCTTAAAATCGTGAAATATTTATCAATTTGTTCATTTAGAATCGTTAGTTTATTTTTGGTAGTCTCTTATCATCTACTTTAGGATTAGGATTATACAAGGATGCAGAACTTTCATTTCTTCACAACGAACCAAAATCAATCTACACGAACGCGGAAGTAAAGCAAAGATTTCCATTGTAACCCGCATTGAATTAAATTCTCCGTGAAGAGGAACTACATGGACTTTGTCATGACATCGAATAGACTTAGATTACCTTCTCGCACACAAGATATGCTATACAAATTAGAAGTCTAGTAGATAAAGATGAACTTGAAATACATATCAAGAAAACCAAGCCCCTAGATATCTATGGATCGTATTAGAATTACTTTGAACTAGTTCCAGAACGAATTGTATTAGGTCCTGTTTTTTGGTTCATTTAGTTCCTTTTGCCTAGTTTTGCTACCTCTCTAATGTATGCGTTTAGTTATTTATGAAATTAAAGAGAAAATTCCGACTTATCTAATGGTGTTTTTCCGGTGGACGCACGTGTATCCTTTAGAAGTTATGAGCAATATAATATGCCATTGTGGCCAAAGGGAATAGGTTTTCCCCCTATTTGTTAATTTAATAGTACTAGGACCTAAAAAATATTTTCCATATTAGTTTTTTATGAAATTGAAGAGAAAATTGTTACCTATATAAAGGTTTTTATCCGGTGGACGCCCCTCTAACGGACAATAACTTTTGAATTTTTAAGAAATATGGATACAAGGAAATACTATTTCATTCTCCCCTTACAATTCAAGCATTTATTGTCCAGCATACGGTAATAGTTTATCATGTGCTGTCCTAGTTTGCACGTTCTTTTCAGTGATTCTTTCAATTAAACTAAACAACTCTACTGTTTAATTTTTTACACGTCCATGGCACATTGAATAGGTAGTCCATTTAGAGCAGCTGATGTCTTGATTAACTGTCAAAGTTCGCAATTTCTACTTGAATTCGATGTGCAATGTTGCCAAACATGTGAAATATTATAAGGAAAAATTTGACAGACTAAATATTAGGTTGGGAAAAAGTAATCTTGGGCCAAATATGCACCGTTTGTTGTATGATTTGTTGCTATTTTAAAGGTGCTCTCTATTTGCAAAAAAAAAACTCTAGTAGTCGATTTTCACAATCCTCTCTAGATACCAATTTTTTATGATTAAAGAAATTTTGCAATGCAAGAAGAAAATCGCTCGTTGACAAGTCCGGTCTGTATGGCGGATGCATTAAAACATCCCAACCGAACTCCCGAAGTTTCTGGCCAATCACTGTAGATGTGTGTGGCTTAGCGTTGTCCTAGGGGAACACGACACCTCTCCTGTTGGCCAATTCTGTCCGCTTCTGGTCAATTGAATTTAGCGTTTGGACATATGGAAGCAACTCATAGTAAATAATTCCCTTCCAGTCCCACCAAATGCATTGCAGAACCTTTCTGGCCGTTAGTCCTGGTTTGGCCACCGTTTCTATTTCATTCCTATCTCTTCGCAGATGGAAATTCGATCCATCCTTTTTTCTGTTAATTGGTGTGGCACCTAAACATCGAGCTTCTTTTTGAATCCAGCTTTGTTTAAATGGTTTAAAACTTTTTAGCTCCTGAGCGATGTTACGACTGCTAACATGCCGATCAACTTCGATCATTTCTCCAATTTTATCGACATTTTCGATTCCCAACCTAATATTAAATTAATTAATATTAAACAATGTTGTAAATATTCTACAAATTTAAATTAAATAATAAAATCACGTTTTTCTACATGCAAGCGTTCCCCTACTCAAAAACATATTAAATGTTTCAGTCAAATTTAAGAGATTGAAAAATGTAAAATATATAGAAAAACACAAGTTATATGGTGTATTAAATTTAGAAGAATAATATTGTTAAATATCACACCCTAAAAGTATGCATTTGTATTATTGTAATAAGCACTATGGTAATCAGCTGATATTCAATA